TTTGGGGTTTGGGGTTTAGGGTTTAGGGTTTAGGGTTTGGGGGGTTTGTTTTTCAGGCGTGGAAGGCCGTCTTTGTTTTATTGGCGGTCCTCGGGCCCTGTGGCCTTTGGTCCTGTTCTGCCCTCGCGGTCGCCCTAAACCCTAAACCCCAAACCCTAAACCCTAAACCCCAAACCCTAAACCCTACACCCGATAATCCTGTGGTCTTCTGGTATAGCCAAAACAGCAAGCCACTCGGAGGGCCTGCGGAGTTCGATGCCGACGCGATCCTGTTCCCCATGTACACCGTGCCCGCGGAAGCCCTGCTGCAGATGGACCAGGACGGGAGCCCCCGAATCGCGCGAGCGCTTTTTTTGGGGAGGGGGTTTAGGGTTTAGGGTTTAGGGTTTGCGGTTTAGGGCTTAAAGTTTATGAAGTTTGGGGTTTCTGATCCGGGTGGAATGTGCAGCGTGGGGCCCGGAGGTGGAACCTCACGAGGTCTTAGAAGCGAAGGGCCTCCTGGTCAAGTTTGACAAGAGTCTTGGGAACGCCGCCTTCGTTTCGCACGAGTGGGTGGGCAGCCACCACCCAGATCCAGAAGCTCGGTAGGCCCTTGTGGGACGTTCCACATGTTCCCTTACTGGGTTTAAGAGGCTCATATTCAACACCCTACGTCTTACGCCCTACGCCCTACGCCCTACGCCCTACGTCTTACGCCCTACGCCCTACGCCCTACGCCCTACGCCCTACGCCTAAACCCTAAACCCTAAACCCTAAACCCTAAACCCTAAAGAGGGTTTTAAGGGGCCATCCTAGGAAAGCAAGCAGCTGAGCAGCCTGAAGGATGCTCTGGCGCACGTCCTGTCGGATTTGCAGGTCCCCCCCCCCCCCCCCCCCGTGTAGGGTTTAGGGTTTAGGGTTTAGGGTTTAGGGTTGAGGGTTTAGGGTTTAGGGTTAAGTTTAGGGTTTAGGGTTTAAGGGTTTAAGGGTTTAAGGGTTTTAGGGTTTTAGGGTTTTAGGGTTTTAGGGTTTTCGGGTTTTAGGTTGACATCCCTCTGGACGTGTACACGGAGACGTTTTTCCCGAGGGCGCGGCCGCTTCCCACCGCGGCGCTGCGCGAGGCGCCGCTGTTTATTTGGTACGACTATTTCTCATGCCCCCAGCTGGAGGGCCAGAGTCAGAGTTTGGGACCGGCGCCGGAAGTTGGGAAGAGGATCAACCTCGCCAGGGCCGTGGACAGCATCCCGGGGTACATCGCGGAGTGCAAGTTCTTCATCGCCCTCTGCCCCGTCGTCGAAAGCACCTTGCTTGGCAAAGTCTTCACTCCTTTTTCCTGGACCTTAAGAGCGTGGTGTCGAACGGAGCGAGCCCTTCGCGAGCTTTCGGCGGAGTCCTGGATCATCATGATCAAGAGCAGCACTGAGGTAGAAATGACGGCGTCCTCTGCCCCGTTTTTCATTGTGCAGCCTGCTGGCGATGGACATTTCACAGTAGAGGAGGATCGTGGCAAGCTGGCTCCAATCTTTCAGAAAGCTCTTGGGCGCAAATTGAGGTTCCTGCTAAGGGCCCAAGACCTAGTGGCCTACCGCGTGCTTCTAAACACGCAAACCGCCCGCCTGAGGGGTTTTCCAGCTGTGGCAGAGTATGACTTGATCCCCGGGTTTGAGCCAGATGGCGGTGGCGAATCAGACACTCCGGCCCTTGCAGCGCAGCAGTTCCTCTACCAGAACGGCTTCGCAACTGTCCATGAGGTGGACACTGGGGGATGGTCGCCGGTGCACTACGCCGCACTTCGTGGGGACCCGCTGGTGATGCAGGGCTTGCTCCAGATGCGGGCCAACATAAACCGTTGGACGCGAAAGGACCAGCCGATGGCAGGAGTACCTTTGGGCAGCACAGGTCTTGGAATCTGCAGCCTCTTCAGAAACCACGACACCCTGCGGCTGCTGCTCTCTGCAAGAGTGAAAGTGGATTCCGGCGTGCACCCGGATGTAGCTGCGGCAGCTGCTGCAAATGACCCGGAAGGAATCCGAATCCTTTGCGGCGCGGGCGGCAGCCCCTTTAAGAGGAACCTTTTCGGAGACTCGGCGTTCGAGTATGCCGCCGCCTTCGTGGCCTTGACGGCGCTGGAAGAGCTGGTCATCCAGGCAGGACCGGATCTTCACCAGGTGGACATGTGCAAGTCGCTGTACGTGGCCACAGCAGTTCGTGGTGGTAGCGCAGAGCTTGTGCAGCGGCTGCTTGAGTTACGGGCTCACGTGAACACGGTTGCGGCTCCCCCGGTCCCCCTGCGGCTCCTATTTGCGGCCAAGACGCTTCAGCACCGCTGCGGCTGGAGGTCGAAGTTGACCAGGTGGGCCTATCACCACGGCCATCAAACACCCCTCATGGCAGCCATCATGTCAGGGCAGTATGAGGCGGCCGCCGCCCTCATCGCCGCGGGCGCCCGGATGGACTTGCGCAACTCCCGCAACTGGGCCGCGGCAGACTTCGCCCAGGGCCAGTCCTTGCCGGACTTTTTGATGCAACTTGGTCGCCCAGAGGTACCCGTTCCCCTTTTTTTGGTTCAGGGTATTTCAGGGTTCAGGGTTCCCTTACAAAGCAAGCAACCCAAAATAAGCAGCCTCAAAAAGGGCACCTTCACTCTGATGTGGCTACTGGGCTTCCAAGGCAAGCTTTTGAGGGAGACCGGGAGGGCTGCCAGAGAGTGGCGGCACAGGCGCTTGCGAATGCCTCAATCGAGCTTTAGTTTCACCAGTCGCGAGGGCTTCCGTAGCGTTTAAGGTTTAGGGTCTAGGGTTTAGGGTGTAGGGTTTAGGGTTTAGGGTTCAGGGTTTAGGGTTTAGGGTTTAGGGTTGAGGGTTTAGGGTTTAGGGTTTAGGGTTTAGGGTTTAGAAGATTTTCACACTATAACAGTGTCACTCTTGAGCTGCTGTGACGAAAAACAGGGTTCAAGGGTTTCTGTCGTCCTAAGGACGTGTAGGCCATCCGAAGTTTTTTTTTTTAAAGCTTTCTGCTGAAGTTTGGAGGCTTTTGGCCATCCGAAGGTTCTTTTTTAGCTTTCTGAGAGTGGCGGCAATGGCACTTGCCAACGCCTTCGTGGAGCTGTAGTTTCACAGAGTACCGCGCGCGGAGTTCTTTGAACAAGGGGGCGTTGTGCTGCGGCAACCCGCGCCCCAAACCTTTAACCCCAAGCCCTAAATCCTAAACCCTAAACTTTAAACCCTAAGCCCTAAGCCCTAAGCCCGAAATCCTAAATCCTAAACCCTGAACCCTTAAACCCTAAACTCTAAGCCCTAAGCCCTAAATCCTAAACCGGAAACCATCAAGGCCCGAGGTCTTGGATCAGGCAAGCCTCTCTTGAAGCTATTGGAAGCTTGGCTGCCTAGATGCAGTGCAGTTGCTCGCTAAAAAGGTGCTCATACTTTTGGAGAAGGGGTTTCAGCCCTCAGCCTCAACCGTGAACCCTCAACCCGAAACCTACATCCTACAAGCCCTCAACCCTAAACCCTACATCCTACAAACCTTAATCCCTAACCCCTTCAACCCTAAAAGCCCAAACCTGAAAGGCCCTATAAACCCGAGAAGTCCTTAGGGTTTAGGGTTTAGGGTTTAGGGTTTAGGGTTTAGGGTTTAGGGTTTAGGGTTTAGGGTTTAGGGTGCATAATCCCGCCTAAACCCTTCAACCCTTCGACCCTATGAGCCCAGATGCCCAGGAGCCGCAGGCTGCCACAGGCGACACTGAGCAGGGCTTCTAAACCCTAAACCCTAAACCCTAAACCCTAAACCCTAAACCCTAAACCCTAAACCCTAAACCCTAAACCCTAAACCCTAAACCCTAAACCCTAAACCCTAAACCCTAAACCCCAAACCCCAAACCCCAAACCCTAAACCCTAAACCCTTCCTAGGTAGGATAAGGGGGACCCTTAAAAGGGTACCCCCTTCTGAACCCTCTTCTGGCTCTCTTAAGCAGGGACCTTATTTCAGAGGGTCTATATCCCCAAGGGTCCCCCTAATCCTATCCCCACTATTATAGGGGTCGGAAGAATTGCAAATAGTACTCCCTTGTGGTCCCTTGATAATTCTACCATAATAGCCTCCAAAACCCTATTCTCAGGCCCCTATATTAATTCGTGGGCAAGGCTTCCCGCATGTTGCACAGGCATGACTGTGTGCAGAGGAGGAAATTTAGAGGCCAGATTGGCAATCGCTGTTAATTGGACGTTTGGGTGTTAATTTCGTGTTAATTTCTTCTGTTGATTGTGTCCATAGCACTTGTACTGCTGGGGTTCAAAATTCACTCAAGTCAAAGAAGAGCCGGCATTCTGGTGAGTCTTGCCGGGTTCCTGGACAAGTGGAGTACAGACATCACGAAAATAGCGTGCCTGCACGTGGTGGAGAGCAAGGCTGATTGAGCCCAGATCGGTACCAGCCAAAAGCCTCGATCTGCTTTTCCTGAGTGCTTGTGGGCAGTTGGACTGGACTGTTTGGGGTCTTCGGTGGTGCAATTTTGCTCGGGGGCTGCTTCTTGAATCACTGAAGGGTTCAGCCAAGCTGCTACTAGCAACTTGTAGTGGTACGGAACAGGCAGGTCCATGAAGAGGTGGCTGCATGGCTTCAAAGCAGCGTGGCCGGCAAATGAACGCAGATGTGCTGGCCCAAAAGGTCCTTCGCAATATGTCTCATGAGCAGCAAGCAAAGCAACAGCATGCTATGTGGACTATCGTAGGTGGCAGCCATCATTCCGGAGCTTCAACAAACAGCACTGAAAGTCGCTGGTGAGGTAGATGGGGTTGCCGAACAGCCTTGCCCCACATGCGGCACGGCCCCATCGACCGGCAGCAGATGAGACCAGCTGTGATGCGAAGTGCTGGCATTAGCTGCACGCTGATGTCCGCGATGTTGATGCTTTATGTTTGCACCTTCAGGGCCTCTCCCTCCGGCTTTCTAAGAGGGTCATGTTTCACTCTGGGACAAATGGAACGGATGTTGGATCTTCCCGCACCACCCGACTCCGTTGATGACATCCAAAGGGAGGACAGCTCAAGGGAGCTGCTAAATTTGGATGTTCCTGGTGTCGGCTACCGTGCAGTTTTAGTTGGGATCTTTACCCTTGTGCCTTTGTCATAGTTGGGTAGCATTTCACATTTTTGAGGGTGCTTAAACCCAATGAGGAATAACAATTGAAGTTTTTAGTATTATCCCAACCATGAACTAGGTGCTCACAAGGAGAAGCCGCGCCTTGCGCAGGGCCATGCGCGTTGCAAAGATGAAGGTGGCACGATACAGCCCGCGATGCATCGGCCGATTTCTTGAGTCGACACCGACCTTCCTAAACTGGAGGCCACCACCTCGGCTAAGGTTTGGTGTAAGCTTTGGAGCTTCACCGGCGCAAAGCATGGACAGCAGTCCAGGTGGGCCTTTTGACTGCAGTTCTCCTCCTTCCAGTTCCGTTCCCATGGGCAGGACCGTTTCCCTGCCGACAGCTCGTGGACAAAGAGCACTTGTCCTGCCTGTCGTAAATCGCCGTGCAAAAACTTGCAAGGCATCCGTGTTGTCCAAAATTGCAGCCTCTGTAACTGCGACTGGTCCACATGCATCTGAACAGCAGCCCCCTGCATCAACTTCCTCTTCGGAGGTCAGTCTTCAGCTTGGAGAGATCTTTGATGCATGCGCTCCGCCGGGGAGGGTTCTGTGTCCTGGTTCTTTCGAACGTGTGGTTGATCTCCTGAATGAGAGGTTCGGCGTCAGCTTTCAATCTCACGATGTGAGAGGGCTCCAGAGCATGCTATGCGTGAGCGGACAGGATGCAGTTGGCCGTGAGGCTTTCGTGCGCCACTAGGCTGGTTTTTGGAGCATTTTTTTGTTTTCCTTATTTGGGTTTATAAGGGACCCTATACCCTAAACCCTAAACCCCAAACCCCAAACCCCAAACCCCAAACCCTAAACCCTAAACCCTAAACCCTAAACCCTAAACCCTAAACCCTAAACCCTATATATATATATATATATATATATATATATATATATATAGATATCTTTCAGAGGGCTTCTATCGGCCAACCCAGGCCACGTGGGCACCCTCTTGGCCGCCTTGTCGGCTTCCAAGGGCCTCTCCTTGGCACAGCTCAAGGTCCTCCTGGCAACGGCCTTTGCGCCTTGGGAGCCCTTAGGGTTTAGGGTTGAAGTGCTATTCTTGCAGAGTGGCCTTTTCGTAACGAACACCCAGACTGCAGCGTTTGGCAAGGAAAGTCGAGCGTTCCAAGATCAATTGCTGAGCTTGCCTGTGCAATCCTGTAACAATCCGTGCTCAAGAAGTGATTTCCATGCAACATAGCCACAGCCATGTTTTTCCATCTTGAGCTGCTCCAGCGCTGGGTGGGTCTCGTAACTCGCCTTTTGGGAGGCTGTACAGTCTGGCCTCTCTGCTCTCTGGGACATGGTTGGCGTACAGTTTATGGCTGTTTCTTGGACGCGCCGTGGCGAGTGTTGGACTTCTTCTGGGTTGATGGGCTGCTCCACTTGGACATCGGGTTGCTACTTCTGCACAACAGAATGGAAAAGCTTGATTGCGGCCGCTGGACTGTCGATGTTAGCTTCCCGTGTTTTACGTGCTGCATTTCTGACCAGAGTCTGGTACACTTTGATCGGGTCACGAACAGTTTTCCCATGGGGCGGAATTCGCGTACAGGCAACTGGTTTTCGCTTGCTCACAGGTAACCGGGTCCTTTAGCATGTGGCCACTTTTGGGTCTGTTTGTCAAACCTGGAGGCTGGGTTTTGAGGCTGTTACTTGTGCTGCGGGCTGGTGAGGGCTGAGCCCCCCTCACAGTGCCTCTGGGCACACCTGATTCCTCACGCCTGGTGAGGAGACCGCGTTTAATTGATCGCCACCTTTGCCACGTGGCGGTCATGCATGGTACCTGCAAGCATTGATGGGCATGGAGGCTCATGTCGGCGGCATTTCTTAGCTGCGCTTTTCAATTTGCCAGTGCTGGAGGGGTGGGACATTCTGCTTGCTTGGCCTCTGTGATACCTCACTTTGGCCGCCTTTTACAAGTGTGCATGAATCTCTAACCCGAAGCCAGTTGCAGGCAAAATGGCAGGATCAGTATTTTGCAGAGGCATGCATCTGTGTGGCTGGAGCTTCTAGCTGCTGTGGCGGGACGGGAGATAACGACTTGCAAGAATGAAGTGCTATTCTTGCAGAGTGGCCTTTTCGTAACGAACACCCAGACTGCAGCGTTTGGCAAGGAAAGTCGAGCGTTCCAAGATCAATTGCTGAGCTTGCCTGTGCAATCCTGTAACAATCCGTGCTCAAGAAGTGATTTCCATGCAACATAGCCACAGCCATGTTTTTCCATCTTGAGCTGCCCACCCGTGGCTGCGCACCCCTCCCTTTGTGCAGTTGAAGAAACACTTTGAGGGACATTCTGCTTGCTTGGCCTCTGTGATACCTCACTTTGGCCGCCTTTTACAAGTGTGCATGAATCTCTAACCCGAAGCCAGTTGCAGGCAAAATGGCAGGATCAGTATTTTGCAGAGGCATGCATCTGTGTGGCTGGAGCTTCTAGCTGCTGTGGCGGGACGGGAGATAACGACTTGCAAGAATTAGGGTTTAGGGTTTAGGGTTTGGGGTTTAGGGTTTTTTTGGTTTCGATGTTCCCTTACAAAGAAACCAACCCAAAAAAGCAAGGAGCGCTTTGATACGGACTCCAACGGAAGCATCACCGAAGTCGAGTTTGCAGCGGCGCTGGCCAGCTGCGACATCCACCTGCCCAGCAGCCAGGTAGCCGCGCTGCTGAAGTTTCTGTCGCCAAATTGCAGAGACGATGCGGTCGCCGTTTCCCGAGCGGACCTGGCAGCAAGGAATTCTCCGCCGAGCTTGGAGGACATGGTGCTTCCGGGGGGGGGGGGGCGCATGTTGCTGCTGTTGCTGTGCGTCTTTTTCGTGGGGGGTTGGGGGGGTTTCTGCTTTCTAGACTTCTTTCAAGCTTCTTTGAAAATTGGGCCGGAGGAGCAAGTTCAAGCAGCTTTTCAGGGCGCAAGCACAAGCTTGGCCGAAACCACCGGATGGAAGAGCGCCGTAAAGATGGCGGGGAGGGTCCTGGCTGTTCTCGAAGAGCCGGGGAGTCCCAAAAGCCATCTCTACGGTGTGATCGCAGCCATCGTCGGGAGGGACGTTTCAAGCGAGATGCTGGCAGACACAAGTGAGCTGCTACTCACCTTAGCAAGCGTGGTGCTCGTGCTTCAGGGCCATGCGCACGGATCGCCCATGTTGCCCGCCGAGTGGATGGATCAGCTCAGAAGCGTGGCAGACGACCTCGCTGCCTCGTTCCAGGACCTCGTTGACTCTGGCCCCATGGGCCCTCTTTTGCTTTCAGGAGTCCTTGGAGCCTTCAAAGCACTACGAACCCATGAGCCGGTGTCCTTCAGTGAGAAGGAGGCCCTGCTCTTTGCGCGCACCTTCCACGCAAAGGGCTGCCCTGTGCCTCTCTTTCAGAAGCTGCTGGCTTGTGGACACTGCCAGTGGACCTCTGCCTCAGAAGGGGATCTCTTGCAAGACTCGGCTTGTGGGCAGGTTCACATTCTCGTGCGTGGGCAGGTCCACAGGCGCAGTATGGATCAGCACGTGGTTGTACAACCCGGTGAGGTCATCAGAGGATGCAGAGATGGAGAAGCGGTGATTGCTTCCAGCAATGCAGTTTTTGCTACCCTGGATGCTGAAAGGCTAAGCCAGTGCGTTCAGAACTCGCCCGACACCCTCCTTGTCAAGTTGGTCAAGGAGATCTTGCGTGACGCAGGAATCGGACAAGCGGCGGGCTCTGAAGTGGACTGGCCACCCTTGGATGCAACTTAGAGGTACTTGGAAATACTCTTTTTTTAAAGAAAAAAGTTTTTGGGTACCAAAATTCCTTTTAAAACAGCAAGAATGACAATTTTTCCTGGGGTTCCAAGTTCAGTATAGGTAGCTACAAGTCCTGCAAGCTCAAGCTCCGCCTCTGGATGGCTCTCTCCATTCGCGGCTGCTCTCCAGGTTCAGGCCAAGCGCAAGGGCCTGTCGGTCTGCACGGAAGTCACCGATGGCTTGCAGCACATCTTGTCGCAGGAGGACATGCCCTGGCCCGCGAAGTTCGAGAGATGCCGCGCGCTGGTGTTGGACAACGCGGATGTCTTTGTTGAGAGCCTCGAGGCGCTGGTCGACATCACCGGAGCTTGCTCGGCGCTGCTTGCCTTTTGGACCCAATCTTCAGCCCCGACACCAGAGAACGTGCTCCAGCTGGCTCCAATCATGATTCTCCTAAGCCTGGTCGCCGTACATGCCGAGCGTCGCGGGGCGGCTCATGCTGTCAGCCCCATGGGTGTATCAAGCCCATAGCTATATCCCCTTGGGAATTATTGTTTATTCTTGTGTATATAAAACCCAAGAGGATAATCAAAATATTGATTTTTATTAAGGTTCTAAGGGGAGTATAGATAGCTAGCTTCGTGGAAGGCCCTTTTCCGCTTTGGACACTGTGGCTCGGACCTTTCCCCTTGAGTTGGAAACGAGAGGTACATGCCGACTGTGTCAATGTGTCAAGGGGCCTTCTTTTTCAAAGACTACTGCATGGCAGTATTGCATGTTTCCTTCTTGCTGCATGGCAGCATTGCATTTTTCATTCTTACAGCAGTTGTCTGCGCAAGGACGCCGGCAAGCAGCTACTCTCAAAGTTGAGAAACCAGAAGTCTGCAATTTGCGGGTTTCCGCAGTTTTGCAAAGGCACGACTGAGCTGAGGAGGCAAAGCTGCAGCTGGAGTGCCGCCTGCCTCTTCATGAATGGTCGTCTCTTTGCTAGACCAAGGTAGTAACTATTCGCTCAGATAGTGCAGGAAAAGTTGCAACAGGGTTCGCCACGAAGAACATGCCCGAAATCGTCGAGAGGAGTAAGGGGTTCATTCATTCAGAAATGCTTATACCAACAGTGTAGATGAAATCCGAATTGAGGGCTTTGCTGAGAGAGAGAGAGAGAGAGAGAGAGAGAGAGAGAGAGAGAGAGAGAGAGAGAGAGAGCGAGAGAGAGAGAGAGAGAGAGCGCGGAGGGTGCAGCAGAAGAAGAAGAGAGAGTGCATCGGCGATTGCGGCTTGTTTGAGAGCTATGTTTGTTGCCTTTTAAGGTGCAATGGTTTCAAGGCCTTCAAGCTACCACCCTTTTCGGATCTGGGGGCTGGCTGTTTGTAACTCGGTCTTGTGAATTCCGGAGGACTGACTTTCAGAATACTGTTACACATTCGTGCTCTTCCTGGGGCGGTCGGAGCCCACCTGAAAGCGAAGTAGTTGCCAGGGGACCCTCAGCATACGTGGAAGCTTGCAGGGCTTCGGGGTATCGGGCTCCGAGCTGTAAGAGTCAGGGTACAAAGTGAGGGATTAGAGAAGCAGATGAGAGAGAATGCCAGATGCAGATGGGCGATGGGGATGCGAGGG